AGTTTATCAAAATTTCCCTGCTTAAATGAACTCAATTGCTTTGCTCATAGTCTGATAGGAAATGATAGGATTTTACACTTTCCCACTCTTCCTGTTGTTATTAATAGCACATGGTGGGCTTTGACCTGGCAAAGTGCTAAAGGGCTGTGTGTCTATTAGCTCATTTAATTATCAAAGCAACCCTTTGAGGTAGGTGCTGTTGATCTTCCCCATTTTATAGGTGAGAAAACAGAAGCTCAGGAAGTTAAGAGAGTGGCCCATGGTGGCACTGATTGCTTCTCCTCTGTGTCTCCCTACAAGGCCATATCACCCTGAAGAAATCCCCAAATCATTGCAGCCTGTCAGGATGCTCCCCAGAGAGCTTCCTTCAGCCTTTCCCACTGCCGGGCTGTGTCTGCTGGCTGTGACGGCACAGTCCACAGCCACGGGAGACTGTCCTGAGCTGTGGATCATAACTCGCTGGTATCCCATAAAAATAATCTCACTTTGATGCCACATTGTCAATGGAGACAGTACTTAGCAAATTGTAAAATGAATGTGGTAATGTGTATTTAATGTGTAACAGTTTATAAAGTGCTTTCATTTCTGTTATCTCATGAGAGAATTTGGGCAAGTCCAGGCTCTTCGATGATAAGGAAGAGAAATCCATTTGGCCTATCTCAGTTAGAAAGTGGTTTTGTCGAGACTGGCTGGTTGCTTAGTTGGTTAGAGCATGGTTTTGTAACACTAAGATCAAGGGTTTGGATCCCCGTACTGGCCAGCCTCCAAAAAAGAAAAAAAAAAAAAAGGGCGGTTTTGTTGAAAGTAAGCAGAAGGATGTCAGGGAAGTGACTGCAAGACATAAAGGCAGGTGTGAACACCTGCACCCTCCTCAAACCGAAGATTGCTCTTCTACAACCTCTATTCTCTCTCAAATTTTTAAATCCAGTTGCTGTTTTAGCTTTGACCTTGGCTAATAAGTCCCTTCTCTGGCATGCCTATTATGGCAAGGCTGTTATGTCCCTTACCTCTGCCTTGGTGGCCCGCTGATCCTCTGTCCTGTTCCCACAGGCAAAACCCCAGAGGAGGTGCTGAAGAAGTATCTGCAGAAAGTCCGGCACCCACCAGACGAGGTGGGTGTGGGGAAGCAGGGCAGGGTTCACCTTCTTCATCACCCACAAGATTTTCCTCTGTGGTAGCTTTCCTCAGGGTGCGGCAGGAGCTGCTTTCTAAATCCTGACTGGTACAGAGCTGGTCAGAGCTAACACCCGGGCCCAAGTTCATGGTCCAGAGCTTTAGCTGCTGCTTATCCTGTTCCACCTCCCATGCAGCAAAGTGCTGATTGATCCTAAGCTTAAAGTGATAGTCTGAATTTAAAAAACAATTTGCTAAACCATGAGAACTCACTTTAAAATGGGTTTGATGTAGAACAGTGGTTCTCAACAAGAGGCGATTTGGCCCCTGAGGGAACATTTGGCCATGTCTGATGACATTTTTAGTTGTCGTGACTGGGGGAGGGAAGAGATGCCACTGGCATCTAGAGAGTAGAGAGACCAGGGATGCTGCTAGACACCCTAAAATGCCCAGGACAGCCCCTAC